AAGGTCATCCAAGAGTCAGCAACCAATCCATCAGCAACTTTTGCAATTCAACAGCCTGGCTGGCAGTGGTTGACAAATCCGTTTTTGTAAGTCGCAGAATAACATCAATGTTAACGTGACACGGGGCGGAGCGCATGCCTGTGACCAGGCATCTCCAATACATCTGTTCCTGGAGGCAGAAAGGAGGCGAGTGGCTTGCCACGAGTGGGCGTGCCAACAACAGACAAAAGGCATGAGGCACGTCCTTCTCAAGGTTTTAAAGCTTGAAGCCCCTTAAAACCCCACACTACGGCTCCTGAACCCCTTAAGTCACCCTAAACCCCTCCCATCCGGAGGTATATCAGTGTCAGCACCATGAACGGCAAGAACCTCAAGAGCCGGAAGGAAGGCCGATGCCTCGACATCAAGTCGGGTGAGAACAACTTGCAGCTCGGCTTCTGAAGGTTCCATGAGCATAAAGGTAGTTACAACCCTAAATCCTAAACCCTGAGCTATACCTACCCACCTTGAACCTCCTTCCCTTACGGGACCCTCTACTTCTTGTGTGAGCTGTCGGGACCTCAAGGACTTCGTATGTCCGAATCCAGATCGGGCGCTGTCAGGGTCGGACTTGCGTTGCCCAGACGCGGCAGGGACTTTCATTCCTGCCTTGAAGGGCTCTTGGTCGGCTTCGCAACGCGCATCCGTTCTACACGGGGGGGGGGGGGTTGTTGAAATCTTGCATTCTCCTGCGAGCGACACTTGCGAGGTGCCGTCGAGGCGTTTTCACATTGTTTGGGGTCTACATCGGCTTATTGTCAATTAAGGCCCAGAAGTTCAGCAGGAATCCTGTTCGTGGCCACCCATGAACGGAATCTCTCATTTCGCGCAAGCGAGGTGGGCCAGTGGCTGTCCGCCATACAACACGCTTCGGTGGGAATGGGGTCGCACTGCCACTTGGCAAGCATGCCTTAACACATCGGTAGCAGCTCACTGGCATTGATCACCGTCTAAGTTCACCCACATCCCCCAAAACACCGCGAAACAGGAGTAGGTTGGAACATAATGTTTTAGTTCATATTGCCCTTAACTTCTGTTTAATCCTTATAAAGCCATAAAACTATATTTAGAGAGCCCCCAAACCTACCCCCCTAAACCCTACACCCTAAGCCAACCCTTGGCAATCAGGAGCCTTCGGCACGAAACAAGAAGACACCACTGCCATCAAGCTTCGAGCACGGCCAGAGCCTTCGAGCGTCCTGCAACTGGGCCTCAAAGGGTTTAGGGTCTAGGGTGCAGAACATGGCTCTGAAAAGTAGGGGCCCCCCGAAATGCGCTTCGAACAGTTCCAAAAACTCCGAGACCTGGCCTGCGGACTCTGACTGCAAGGGAGAGACGCCAAGCCCAACTGTATCAAAATGGCTTAGGGTTTAGGGTTTTGGGTTTGGGCCTTTTGCTCAGCGTCCTTTGTGCGCACAGCTGGTCCTTCAATCGGAGATTGGCCAGTGGGGGCATGGCGTATCTGCTCAGTTCCTAGGATTGCCATCTTCGTATAAAGGATGCTCCTACACCGGATATTGTAGAAATTTGCTAGGTAGGCCCTTTGGATGTTTCGGGATCATGTTTAGGATTTTTTCGAGGGGAGTAACACAAACGTGCGCAAGGTTGGGCGGAGCGCTTCGCCAGCGGGTCAGGTGGCGCTGCTCGTGGCTCTGCTCCTCGGGCGCATGGTTCTCTAAATTAGGGTCCCTTTTAGGGTCCTTTTCATACGGCGTACTATTTTGGGGACCTTGAAAGGGACCTAATTTCACACCTGCCCTAAGAGACCCAAATGGACCCCACACGTCAGTGTTCCCGAATGAACTGCACACAGTGCCTAGGGAGCCCCCCCACCGACAAGGGTGCAGGGTTTCGGAGTCGGAATAATTTACTAATGGTCTTCCCTTATTGTCCCTTTATAGTTGTACTACAACAACCCCCCAAAACCCTATCCTATATTAGGGTTTAGGGTTTAGGGAGTTTAGGGTTGAGGGTTTAGGGCCCGTGGAGTCAAGAAATCTTGAGGAGACCATGAGCTGCGTGGCCGGGGCATGGGTGAACTCGCACAACAAGCCAGGCCCGTGAAGCCCTCGAGACTATAGGGCCACACCGCAGGGTTTAGGGTTTAGGGTTTAGGGTTTAGGGTTTAGGGTTTAGGGTTTAGGGTTTAGGGTTTAGGGTTTAGGGTTTAGGGTTTAGGGTTTAGGCCTTGCGTTGGACTTGTCGGGCCCAACACATAGGGAATTGACAGTTGCAGGAAGGCGCCGACATTGTGAGCCCCGAAAGCAGAATAAACGCGAAGTAAAGCAGACCTTTAAACTCGACCCCTTTAGATACATACTTATGTGTACGTAATTCTATGCTTATAGATGTTTCGGTTCATCCGTTTAGGTATGTAGAATTTAGATATTCCCTGTTTTTGTTCGTATGAGTCTATATCTATACAGGGTGAAAATTCTTAGCCTTCGCTCCCACGTTTCTCCTTTGCTGGAGAGCTGTCGGCTACTTTGAGTTGAGGGTTGAGAGGGTTTCAGGTTTAGGCGCCAAGACAAACTTGATTATTCTGGCAGGGTCCCAATTTTGTTCAGCAAATATCTTCCATGCCACAGCTATCAGACTCCAGTAGGATTGAGGGTTTAGGCCTGGTCCTCATCACCCTAACCCTAAACCCCAAACCCTTCCAGGCCTTGAAGGCTTCGCCTGCTTGGCCTGCATCCAGGCCTCAGGGACCTGCTTGGGCGAGAGGGGGGTGAGAAAGGGGAGGATTAGGGTTTAGGGTTTAGGGTTTAGGGTTTAGGGTTAGGGAGTTACCTTGAAATTTATCCCGAGCCGTCCAACTCCAAACTCTCACGCATAAACCTTCCGTACCCTCAATGAGGATTCAGGCGCCTCTCGTCTCCAACGTGATTAGGGTTTAGGGTTTAGGGTTTAGGGTTTAGGGTTTAGGGTTTAGGGTTTATATAGGGTTTAGGCTCCACGAACAAGGCCACATCCTTCGAAGCACAAGCCCCTTGATCCTGGAACCTTTGCCTCTCCGCTGATGTTCTTGGGCTGAGCATCCCCCCGAACAGGAGAGTCAATTGACTTATGGGTTTACATGATTCAACGTGACCTGCTCGCCAAGCCCTGCATCCATCAAGAACCTAACGAAGGCTTGCTGAAGCACCTAGACCTCATAAACAAAGAACCTCTCTCAGGTGGTCTCCAAGACGTATGCAGAGCTCGATTCGAAGATCAAGCAGGAGGGGGGGTCGGAACTGAGATTGTGGCCTTGGAGATCTTGATTTTTCAAGCTTGTGCGGCCTGGGATCCAGCACAGGTTTGAGTAGGGCTTTTCGGGGTTCTACTTGGGGCCCTCCCGTCTAGGGTTTGGGGTTTAGGGTGATTCTGGACCTTTTCTTCTGGCGGAGGGTCGAGCAACCATACTGTTGGGGCTCGGGTCAGGTCAAGCTACGCCTGCGAAAGTGCGCTCTCGCTGGCAACAGGCTCGAAGTCAGGAAGCGCTCAGCTCCAAAGCCAAATCGCGATGCCACGCTATGCACGAAGCTGGCAGCGGTCTCGATCAGCCCTGAAATCGGCGCGCGCGCTGTCTCCAAACAGTCATCGTTTGTCTCCAGATTGCTGACAAGAAGAAGTCCGATGGCAAGAGTCTTGCAAGGCTGAGCATGTCTCCAGGTTAACATTCTTTTTCCGATGAGGGTCATGCACGAAGAGGCAACAACTGTATGCGACCACCAAAACCAACACGCCCTCACGACGGTGGAAAGGCACCATCACGGCCGTACCCCTCGCTAGACATGCCAAGCCTTTCTTTTTGTCTGGCTTCGTCAATGAGATTCCAGTCGCATGTCCGCAAAACCCTGAAGCAGCTGGCAGACGAAGGCCAGGACATGGTGAAAATTTAGAGGGCTTAGTATGCTTAGTGTCACCGGTCGACAGCAATCATCTCCACAACCTGTCGGCAAAATATTTTCTTGTCTCCAATGAACTTGTTCGAGGCAGTCCGCAAGGCCGCGTGCATAAACCCCTAAACGTCCCCTAAACCTTACAAACCCTACATAACCCCCATATATACATATGTACATACTAGTACTAAACACGAATACAAACCCTATGCACCCCATAAAACCCATAAACCCATAAACACCCCAAAGTTCCGAAAGACCAGAACCCGGCTGCCCGGCGAGAGGAGCTTTTCTTCGCAAGCAGGATGAAAGTGCAGCTCTCTGTCGTCGCTGGGCTCCGCACCAGTTGTTATTGAATGAGGGAAGTGCTTACTGGTTCGCAGTAGGGACTGAGGAAATTTGGTACCCGGTAGAATCCCTCAAGCGGTACAAATGAGGGACAGCACAAGGTGCTTCATTCCCTCCTAAGGATCAGTAGGATTCTGGGCAAACTCTATCCTCCAGTGCCTTCAAAGGGTTTTTTTCGGGAGCCGAATTCCCAAAATCCCCCGCTGAGAACCAGAGAAGTTCTGCTCTGGGTTGGGCGGTTCCAAGGGCTATGGTTCCAAGGGTCACAAACCCTAAGGGTCCCATGTACCTAAATCTGGAGTACCGGGGCATCGGGCCTTAAAGTACCTTGTAGATGGGGACTGGTGGGCCCCAAGTACAGAATCATCCCAACTCAAGTACAGAGACCGTAGAGCTTTCGCACTAAACGGTTGAAGGGAACCTCCATATTTCGATTCTAAAATTGGAGAAGTATCCGGGTGTTCTATGTAAATGTGGGGGAAATGGGCTTCCTATTAGATAGGAGAAGGTAAGATGTCTTTGTCCTATAAAATGCAAACATGCTTGTAATTTGTAATGTTTGTACATGCCGACTCTACTCGCCAACCCCCCCCCGCAGAAATGCAAACTATTCAAATCCTAGCCGCTGTCCTCACTCAGTCTCCTTTGTCCTGTCTCAGCGTCTCATCTCAGGACACGCGCACACGCCGCACGGTGACGTCCTTTGGCAACTTCCAAACAGGCTCCGGGCTAGGGCTTGGCATGCAGATACCGCACTGGGGCAAGCAAGTTTGTGCTGTTCTGGTGGAATCCGCTCGCGCAAACAAATTCCAGGCTCTGCGCCACGGACCAACGTGCAATTGAGCGTATGGCCCAAGCGGCACCAAGCAGGTCACCAGGCCACACGAAATCTGTGAGGCCATGGGAATTGGAGGAATCTCGCGCTTGGCAGCATGCCCGCGGATAGCGGCTCCGGTTCAGGGACAGAGAGCTGACGTGGCGCAGTTGGGCTGCAGGGCGGCGAGAACCTCGGCCATGGAGCAGCTCTTGAATTTCTGTGCAGCCCTGTGTGGAAGAGTGGCACATGTCATGTTTCAAGTCTGGTGCGTCCCTTTTCAGGGGCAGGTGCTTTCGTCGAGAACAGCACAGTCACACTTGATGTCCATGAGAGGAAACTGGCTGCGTGGAACGCCCATGTTGCCAGAATCTGCAAGCATGGCAGGTACTTCCACCACATGGCTGGCGCGGGCCATGAAGGGGTGATGATTGCCACCATGAGCTATATCCCTTCACCAGTACAGGCGAAGCGCAGAAGGAATCGCATTCGCAAACACCGGTTCGAGCCATTGTCTCGTTCAGATTCATGGCCCTTGCCAGAACCTGAGTTTGACCGTATTCCCTCGGAACATTTCAGTCCGTGTCTAGTTTTCATCATCATCATCATAAGTTTCTCATGCACTGACGCCAAACCGGCAGCACACGGTAGGAGCGGACATCCTTAGATATCCACTTCGTTCTGGACCTCAGGAGGCCGCCATCTGCAATTCCGGATGGCCTCTTGGACAGTACCTAAGTACCGCAGGACCTTAGCTTGCCGATCTCTTAGGGCTGGCCAGCCGAGCCTGCTTTCAATGGCATCTCGGGGACACCTTGGTCTAAGTGACAAAAGCGGCGAGGAGCGACACTCCCATGCTATGTGTTTCCAAGTACCCAGGGCACGACACCAAGGGCAAGTAGAAGGAAAACTTTCAACCTGCCTGTCCTTGAACCACGCGGGGCTCACAACTGCACAGAGGGCCACACTGCGACAAGCAGGCTCGGCAGCACATATCTTCCTAAGAAGATCAAAGTTTCGATTGAAGACATTTCTCGGGTCCACCTCAGCTGTCCGAAGTTCTTGTGCTTCGTGACGCTTGTTCTTCAGGAACTGGTTCCAGGAAAACAGCCTCCAACCGGCTCTCAACTGATGCAATTGTCGAGACAAGTCTGCACCTGGCTCAAGCAAGAGCTCACCAACACCAAGCTTTTGCCAACTCCAAGGACGAACTTCAGCCCAGCCTCTCTGCCTGAGCCATTTCCTCAAAGTAGCGACCGGACCTCCCGCCATTTGATGACCATCCGGGCCTGAGCCGTTTGGAAACGCTCGATCTCTTTCTCAGCATCAGTACGAGGGCGGCTTCTGGTAGCCACTCCCAAGAAAAGAGCATCGTTACGCAAGCACTCGACTTCAAACTGAGCAGCCAACTCACGCCTTTGTTTCAAGCTTTTTGCAGCCACTTGTGCTTTGGCTCCATTTTCAAGGAGGCCAACTTTAGCACTCCAAGTTTCCCACTGTTGGACTTTTTCCTGCAGGTAACCAGCTTCACCAGCCGTCATGGTCCGGTCGTCCATAAAGACCGTAGTGATCCCGTTCTGTGCCACCCGAGCAGTGAAGCCTCAACAGCTCTGCAGCCCGCCGAAAGCCACAACGCCGCAACCAAAGGACCAGCAGGGTCGCCTTGGGGAACAGCTCTGTCATTTTTCATGACATGAGGGCTGACATGTCCCTGCCAAGCGAGCCAACAGCGATGGCCTTCCCACATCTTTCCAGCAAGAGCAGCATGCCTGGGATCGCAAAGGACCCTGGTGGTCGCATGGGGCAGGAGCAGGTCAAAACACTTGCTATAGTCAAGAGTGGCCATGAAACCTTGCTGCGTGTAGCTTTCCAGTATCTGACCAGCGCACACCTGAGCATCAGCGGCCCATAACTGACATCTTTATGAAGCACTTGGCTCGCCCAAGCCTTAGTTGCGTCGGTATGCAGCCAGGTGCTCATCAGCAGTCGCCACCAACTGCTAAGCACAGTGATAGGGCGAGCGTCTTCTGGCTTCAGCAAGCCATTGTGTATTTTGTGCTCTTTGGGCAAGAAGACAGTGCGGGCTTCAAGCAGCGGTGAAATCTGAAGCGCATCAAACCATCTTGTAACCAAGGCCGTGTAGAGGGGCCAAACTCCAGCCGGCAGGTCAGCAAGATCGTCCCCGCTCCAACCATCACCGCCAGCGCTTCCTTTCATGCTTTTTGCAGTTTTGGAAACTGCTCAGCAGACGTCATCGTCCAGGAGACTCCTTCAAGCGTGACACTGTTTTCAGGCAGCTCAAGCGTGATGGCCTCAGGACTGAGCGAATTTTTGGCAGACTTGACTCCAGAAGTTCATCCAGTAGTCACGAATGGCTTTCACAGCCTGTTCAGGATTTTTGGCCGCAGTGCCATCAGCAAGCTGGATGTCAACTGCACCTAAGCTTTTCCGCGATTTGAGCCACTTTCCAGCAAATTTCGGCTAACGAACTCCGTTTTCCACTTGTCAAGGCGTGCCTGACCTCTTTTTCGCTGGACCCCAGCTCCCAGCTCAAGCTTGGCCTTCTTGAGTTCATCAAGCACAAGACGCAGCTTCCAAGCGTTTTCATCAAGCTTCAACTTGTTGATGAGACTGTTGCGGGTGTCGGTGTGCTTCATAGCGTCAACATGGCTGCTCTTGGCACGCTGGATCAACTGTCTGTGCAGCTCATGAAGACGCGCAACTCGTTTGCGCAACTTTGTCAACTTCATGTCACCATTTCCGACCAAAGGACAACACCTTTGAGCAGGCCGGCTGTTGTGGACAGGAGCCGCTCCCTTGAGGCTGCAACTGTTGCCGAGCTGAGTTCGAGCACAAAGTCGCACGGCCTTGTTTGCATGCGAAGCTTCCAACTTTTGGAACACCGACTTCATCATTTGGTCAAGCACAAGAAGGAAGCATTGCCACTCATGTTCCACATTGACAACTGACTGAGAGCCTGCCGGAGGCTGGTGAGGTCAACATGTTCACGGAAAGCTTCTTGAAGGAGCTCCCTCCATTCTTTTTTGTCAAGGAACAAAGGCCTTTTCCATTTAGGCCCAACATCCAAGTAACCACAGTCATGGATCTTTTCTTTGATGTTCACTTGAACGGCAACGGGGATGCGATCACTGATTGCAACAAGGTCCTGAGCAGGGGCCGAGAGCAGTCTTGGTTGGTTCGTCGCAAACCAATCAATTTCTCTGTCGTCCGGCACACCTTTGGGCCCAGGGTCACATTCAGGGAGCCATCTAGTCCGGTGTCTAGTTTGAATTGGTTTCAGGGACAAGGAAAAGCTTGCACAGGCTAGGGACGCGGCTGCGCGCAGAGACTTTTGACTTCACTTGCGCCAAAGAGTCACTCCGGTCCCTGTTTCTTCACCAGGGATGAGTCCCGCCTACACTCCTACCCCGGTCCTATGGCATCACGGATTTTGGCCAGGAGAGTGGGCACTCCACGACTTCTCACTAAGACATCGGGAAGTGTCCGCTGCTTCACTGTTGGAGAACTCTTGACAGTACTGTGTTCGATGTGGGCTTCGTTGCTGACAGAATGGGCCAAACATGGCCTAACATGCCATGAACCCGACCTGGGCGCTTTGCCCGACAACGACCATTGCACTCACCTGGTACGGCAAACAGCGTGTTGGGCAAATGTCATTGCATGGGTTTGTCCATGTGTTTTGCTTTGGCCATGTGTCTAATGTCAGGTGCTGAAACCCTAAACCCCAAACCCTAAACCCCAAACCCTTCCAACCGAGTCCTTGCCTGCCTTGTGCGAGCGCGAGAGCCGAAACCCTAAACCCCAAACCCTAAATAGACCCTAAAGCCCCCAATGTTTCAGAGTACAACGAGTCTCTAGGATGCCCACGGGGCCCTCGGGATGTCTTGGGCATGCGTCACCATAGCAGCTAATTGTCCACCCCTTCTTGTGAGCAAGGGACTAAAGGAGGGACCCTTTCAAGGGATCTTAGGGGCTGTTTAGGGGATATTTGGGGGCTACTTGGGTTTGTATAGACTATTTTCGGTACATAAAGGGGTTATATGGGGGAATAAGATTAAGGTTCCCTTCTAGGCGTCCTTCCTTTTACCCCTTAAAATGAAGGCCTCCTTGTAAACCCCCTAAAACCCTAAACCCCTAACCCCCATACCGAAAACCCGGAGGCAGCTCCGTGGACGTCTTCACAGCGGACCTCTTGCCAGGAGCAGCGGACACCATGCGCCGCTACAGGTTCTTACTGTAGGGTTTTTGGGGTTGAGGGCTTAGGGTTTCGGGGCCCTTGGGGACATCGGGATGGGTGAAGATATCTTCACATGTGCTAGGACGTATTCTTCTGGGTTATTGCTTGCAGCTGTCAGAGAGTGTTCTTTGTTCACAACTGTTCCCACTGTGCCCCTCCCAGCTACAATCGCCACAAAACTCCTCTGTGGGCAGGTCTCTGACGCATCAAGGTGCGCTTTGAGTGTGATGTGTGGCTTCAACGTGTGCGGTCTTTGGAGAATCTTTAGAATCGTCGCCAGCTGCACGTGCTTGCAGGTGCAAGGAAGGACCCCAAAACTTGAATTCACGTAACTCATGATTAGGTGGGAGCCTTCTTTCATGGCCCTGCTCAGTGCAAGAATGAAGCTTCAAACCACACTGAACCCAAAGCCCTACGCCTCACTCATCACACTCATCCGTTCAAGTTCAACCCCTAAACAGGCCATACAAGCCTATTTTAAAAAACCGGAAATTTCAAAGATGCGGAAGGCCAGTGCCTGCGGGCCGAGTCTCATCGGCTGGGGGGCGGGCCCTGCAGTGATGAAGCGGAGAGCGTCGCCCGGCGCATAAGAGGTTTGTTTTGAAAAGGCAGGCTTTCAGGGGCTGATATGGGCCAGCATAGGCGCCCCCCCCCCCCTCCCCCCCCCATGGTATCCCCCCTTTTCCTGCGGTTCATGGTGGGTTTTGGTTTCCCCCCCCCCCCCCCCCCCCGTCGTGGTTCATGGTCTGTGGTTCATGGGTTTAGGGTTTACGGGTTTAGGGCTTTAGGGCTTTAGAGGTTTAGGGTTAGAGTTCAGGCTTTTCACTCTGGTATTGGTTCACTGTGGGTTTAGAGTTTAATCCGGGTTCAAGGTTTGGGGTAATGGCAGGTTAACGGTTTCCCCTCTCCCCCCTGTGGTTCGGTTCAGGGTTCAGGGTTAAAGCGGTGAAGGTTTCGGGTTTACCCTTCTCCCCCCTTGTCGTCCATTGGTGG